ACTCTCTCTCACTCTCTCTCACTCTCTCTCACTGTAGTGCTGCTATACACGATGGGCAACTATCACTGGTATCTGAAGCAGAGTATTGACTGCTCAGCGACGGCAGACGATCAGATAGCTGTGGTTGAGTGGGATGCAGAGCACGCGCTCACTCTTCACATCGTGTTCAGTGGGGGCAAGTACGTGAGGAATGTTTACACGTGGGAGACGTGTGCGAGCAGCGGCTTGAAGAGCGATGACCTGACGAGTGTTGCTGTCATTGATGGAGGTATGTGCACACACACACACACACACACACATACACACACGGGCACACACGCACGCCCACACACGCACGCACACGCACGCACACGCACATGCATGCGCATGCACACGCACATGCACGCACGCACACGCACACGCACACGAACACACGCGCACGCACGCACACGCGCACACACACACACACACCCACGCAAGCATGTACCATGCAGCCCTTCATGTTAGGAAGTAAGGGGATTCGGTTGGAGTGCTAATAACGTCACTTTATACAAGCTTCGTTAATCGTAAAGAAGTTTATATACATCATACATGTTTGTTATCATTTCATTTTGCCTATCGATTATTAATCTATTAACTGTGTAGTGCACATTAAAAACAGAAACAATATGCACAACTAACACTAGTGCATATACCTTATATGCTTGTTTCAGGTGCTAAACCGCATTGCGATTTTCTTTTATAACCATGAATATGTTTTATTGACGAGGTTGTGGTTCATTAGGCTGTTAATTAGATTCAATGTCGATTGTCAAATGTCAAATGTCATTTGTCAATTGTCAATTGTTGTGTCTTCCGTTCGTGTAGACAAGCTGCTTGTGACGCCGTTCCGTAACATGGTCGTACCGCCGCCAATGTGTGCGTTCCACGTCCAGCTACCCGCGTTCGTCCAGCAGGTGGCGTTCCAGTCAGCGCCGAACACCAACGACATGGCGATCCTGCTCTCCGACGGGCGAATCGCGATCTACGAGTACGGATATATATATCAGGAGTTAATAATGAACAATTTGTCATTATTAACTCCTGATATATATATAGACGAACAGTGGATCAACATGTGAGCATAGGCGCTTAGTAATTAACTCAACAACCTTGTTGTCATGGTTCATGTGAAGAGGGTTGTTTTATTTGGTTGAGGTTGTTGGATTTATTTCAACCTTCCTATGTAGCGGATTTATTACTACAGCCGATATCGACTGGTGCTAATCGAAATGAAGTGCGTAACCAGTCGAGGCACAACAGCAGGGACCATTGTGAAACACGAACCGTAATCATTCTCAGGGCCTAATCCAAGCCATTTTTCATACCGAATACCGGCGCCCAAATTACGCCCCCCTCGCAAAATGGCCAAATTACAAAATTCATGAAACGCCCAAATTAGCAGAGCTCTGAAAATTGTGAAAATTAAATCTCCATGTTTCTATCATTATGTAGGCACTGTTTTATAATAAAATGCTCATATAAGATCTATAATCTATTTTATAGAATAACCTTTTAATGTTATTATACATTTACGGGCCCTATACCTAAAAAATATTTTTTACGCTTGCTATGCTCTCCATGGGTGCCCTTATTAGCCCTGATAGCTAGATTAGCAGCTAGATTAGCCCTGGACCGTCTTCCATATATATTCCGTCTTCACCTCAAGGCACAACAGCAGGGACCATTGTGAAACACGAACCGTAATCATTTCAGACTTTGGTTTTGTATGCTAACCGATAAGCCAGTGGTCATCCATGATAGTAGAAGAGATACAAGCATCTCGTTACCTTAGCTTTGATGATACTTGAGTAACTTGACTGTATTTCAATGTTGTTTTGTAATCAGGCCATCTGGGAATCTGATAGCTTCTAGCCAGAGAAAGCCAAACAAACATGACATCGTCTTCTTCGAAAGTAATGGCCTGAGACACGGAGAATTCACGCTGCCCTTTTTTGTTGACGAGATGAAAGTAGGTCATGTCGTTGCCATATATGGCAATATGTTCTTTCATTTCCTCCTCTTTCACTTGATAGTTCATAAAATGATGGTGCGTTTTATGCATGATCACTACCTTTCACTCTCTTTTCTTATGATAATGTTTATGGAACATGCTGAGACTAGCAGAAACAGGAAGCTGGATTTTCACTGCATCGTATTCAGTGGGAGTCTTGAGAAAGCTTCAGAAGGCCTCGTTGCTGAAAGCTCTCGAGTTTATCCCATACACTGCCATAGTTAGCATTAGCATCCTGCATACATACACCTGGTGTGTGTGTGTGCGTGTGCGTGTGCGTGCATGCGTGCGTGCGTGCGTGCGTGCGTTCGTATGTGCGTGCGTGCGTGAATGTGTTTACATGCGTGCATGCGTGCGTGCGTGAATGTGTTTACAGGTTCGTACGCATGCAGGTGCGTACATGCGTGCTCATATTAAAAAATGCAGGGATTTCCTTCTGACATTTTTTGTCTCTCAGTATCTACACGATCACAAAGACACCCGATACAATTGGATATATTCACTTGTAATGCAGCTGCTTTACTTTCTAGGTAAGAGAGGTGTTGTGGAACTCAGACTCCTCAGTGTTGGCTGTGTGGTGTGAACAACTTATAAGCGACAAGGAGCAATTTCCTAAATCTCACGGTGAGTTTTTTAGCCTAAACACTCGATGCGTCTCATAGTGTAATCCTAATGAATCAGCTATATAGGTGTCATTCACGTGAAATACGCTGGTAGGCGTTTCTTGCCATCAGTATGGTTTAGTAAATGGGTAGTAATACTTGATAGTTAGCGACCTGCTCTGATAAAATATATATTCGTGTTTAAGCATCACGGACAGCTCACTTGGCACTCACTATCCTCTCTCATTTCTCTTTCTCTACATTTCCCCTTTCTCCATACATCCACACTCAGGGTGTGAAATTAACACGAGTCCGGAGTCAAATACTCCCTGATTTACTGTCGGACTCCCATGTGACTCCATGACTCTATGTGACTCCCTGAAAATTCTGCTATACTATACTGAGTTGGTTCCAGAGCACGGCCTCGCGGAATTACCGTATTTTTTCAGCAAATCTTTAATTTTGAACTTTAGACTACGGACTCCCTCATTTTGCTGCGGACTCCCTCTTTTTGAGGCTCTCTCTAACCTACCTCCACTCCCTTTCCCCATTCCTAACCCCCGGCCTTGTAGGGTGATTACTGACTTGCTGTGACCAAATGCATATTAGTGTTTGTATTATTTATACATGCTTGATCGTTAATGATTCATTTATCAGTAATTAATGAAATCACTATCTCTTGTTGTTATTGGTGCTGATGGCCATACTTTGCTCTCTCTCTCTCTCTCTTCTCTGCTCGTTCTGCTCGTCGTCTCTCGAATTAGTCTGTTTCGCGCATACTTATCAGTGAATCGACGTCAGGTCTTTTACACGGCGTGGAATAACTGAATACTACTATACTTCAGATGTCACCCTCATGTGTATCTTGGCGAGAACCATGGTTCTGGCTGAAAGCAAGTAAATTAAAATGATTAAAATAAAAAGAAAAAAAGTAAAAGAATTCTATTTGTCAAATAGATGGCGGTTGCGTACAGCCTATCACGATCTCCAACGTGTTAAATCACCATTCGTCTTCTCTGTGCTGTCGCACCGTATCTTTCATCCTGTGCATTATCCCAGCATCTCGTCGACTCGCTAAAATCATTGATTCTAAGCTTGCCGTGCACCATGCCCACCTTGGGAAAATTCTGTTTCTTTCTTTTGGACTGTTTAGTATGTACTCTTTGCCAGCTGGGTCACACCGTTTAATTTCAAATTCCCTATCATAATTTTTTACTCACCATTTTAATACGTTAAAAGTAAAAATCCAGAATTAGAACTCATGGTAGATGCACCTAATATATAGGCTCCGCAACCTTAACTGTACGGGAATCTTGACCTTCAGCGTGAAGCGCTATGTAAGTTATCAGATCTAACCCTACTATTCACCTTTCATATGTCTTCTCTACGATAATTTTATTTTATTATTTTTACTTTTAATTTTTTATTTAATGCACTTTATCTTCCTCTGATTTCTTATTATTTTTTATTGTATTGGATGGGATGGCAATGAATGGGATGCATGTCGACTGGCGCTGGGTTGGATGGGATGGCAGGGGTGCGCTATGGCATGGCGAATGGGCATGGCATGGCATGGGCAATTAACTCCGCATAAACATGGATGGATGCGGTATGTGTTGGGATGGGAATGGGATGGCATGGCAATGGCATCTGGCATGTCATACCCATTGAGTGGCATGGAATGGGATGGATGGATGCCATGCAATGAATAGATACCCGATTAGTTACCCGCATTTTTTTTGGATATTTTTCTTTCAAACCACCAGCGGTCACCAACAGAGACGCCCACTCCCGTTTTGCCCGGGCGGGCAACGGCCGGGTATCCCGCCAGCTTTTTCATTCTTTAATGTCTTCTCATCCTTTGATTTCTTGATTATCTTTCCTTTAAAACTTTTTGGCCCATGGGATAGGATGGGAATGGGATGGCATGGCCATGGCGCATGGGATCCGGAAGTGGATGGGACGGCGGTGCGATGGATGGGTATGGGCATGGGATGGGAATGGAATGGGATGGGATCGGTGCGTCTTCGCGACCAGTACCTGCCATCCTCTCTCTCTCTCTCATCGCTCCGCCTCCTCGTCTCCTCCTCTCTCTCTCTCTCTCCTCCTTCTCTTCTCCTGCTCTCTCGCCTCAAACTTCTCTCTCTTCTTCACACGACTCTCTCCATCTCTCTCTCTCCTCTCTCTCTCCCTCTTCTCTCTCTCTCCCATCCTCGTTAATTCTCGTGATGTCAGGTCCTTCTCTCTCTCGGTCTCGATCTCTTCTCTGTTCTCTCTCTCTCATCTTTCTCTCTCTCTCTCTCCTCCACTCTCTCGTCTCGCCCGGCCAGCTCTCAAGTTAGTGTCCTTCCTACTCTCCTATCTCGGCCTCAATCCGACGTCTCTTCTCTTTCTACTGGACTTACTCTCTCTCTCTCCTCTCACTCTCCCTCTCTTTCTTCTCTCGTCACCCTCTAAGGGGTGTTGCTAATAAATATAAACACACGAGGGGGCAACTACACTGGTAATCTGAAGCAGAGTATTGACTGGCTCGCGAGCGCAGAAGACGAACGAGGTAGGGCTGTGTTGAGTGGGATGAGAGACAAGCGCGCTCCTCTTCACATCGTTGTTCAGTTGGGGGCAAGTACGTGAGGAATGTTTACACGTGGCGAACCGTGCGCGAGCAGCGCTGTGAAGATGCGAGTGACCTCACGAGTGCTTGCTGTCATTAGATGGAGGTATTGCGCGCATGAATACACACATAATACACACATACACATCACACACACACACACACGGCACGGCACGGCATGCCACACATGCACAACACGCCACGTGCACGCACACGACGCGACGCAGGCCATGCCCACACAGCACACCGACGTTACCACGAGGACGCCATGCACAGCACACGCACGACGCACACATGGGCACGGCAAACGCACACGCACACGAATCACGCGCCGCGGGCACGCACGCACACAAACACCCGGCAGCGCACCGCACGCACACGCACACGCACCGACGGCACACGCGCACACACACACACACCCACGCAAGCATGTCAGTCCTTCCATGTTAGGAAGTTTAGGGGATTCGGTTGAGTGCTAATAACATCCACTTATACAAGCTTTGTTAACCGCTAAAAGAAGTTTATATGACATCATACATGTTTGTTATCATTTCACTTTTGGTCCTATCATTATTAATCTATAACTTGTCTAGTGCACATGTAAACAGAAACAATCATGCACAACTAACATAGTGCAATATACCTTATATGACTATGTTTCAGAGTTGGCTAAACCGTACTCGCGATTTTAAACTTATTAATAAGCCATGAATATGTTTCATTGACGAGGTGAGGTTTATTACGGAGCGTTTAATTAGACGTTGCAATTGTCGTGTCAATGTCAAATGTTCATCTGGTCATTGTCAAAATTGTTTGTGTCTTTCGTTCATGTACGACAAGCTGCTATGTGACGCCTCGCTAATATGGTCGTCGCCTCCGATGTGTGGCGTTCCACATCCAGCTACCGCGTTGTCCAGCAGCGTGGCGTTGCCAGTTCGCCGCGAACACCAGCGACATGGGATCCTGCTCTCCGACGGCGGCGAATCGGGATCTACGAGTACGGCCGGGGCCGCGCGCCCGCCGCCGCGCCGAACCCGAGCGTCGTCCTGCAGGCAGCAGGGGGCGTCGGCTTCAGCGTTGCCGCGGCGACGCCCGCGTGCGCGGGAGTGTTTGCGGTGACCGGCGGCGCGGAGGCGTCGTGGGGGCAGCCGCTGCACCTGACCTGGCTCGACCCGGCGACGTTGCTCTGCGTGACGCAGCGCGGCGCCGACGCGGCGTCCCACCTCCACCGGCTGCGCGTCGACGCGAGCGGCGTCGCGATCGCCGCGACGCTGCCGCTAGAGGGCGCCGCGGTCGGCGTGTGTCACGACGCGGCTACGGGGACGACCGTCGTGCAGCAGCGGGGCGGCGTGCTGACGCGCTACGCCGCGGACGCGCTAACGCCGTGGCGAGCGAACCTCCCGCGCGAGTGCGCGCGCGCGCAGCTCTGCCGTTTCCGCGGCGACGAGGTCGTTCTCGCGCTCACCGACAGGTGGCGCCTCTACGCGGACGATGCGGAGCTCGCGAGCAACGTGACGTCGTTTGCGCTGCACGCCGACTTCCTGCTCGCGACGACGCACACGCACGCGTGCCACTGCCTCCCCCTGGCGACGGCTCTCGGCGACGTTCCGGCGTTGCTCGCCGCGGCGACGACGGGCGAGGAATCTCAGCGCCGGGTCGAGCGCGGGTCAAGGGTCGTCGCCGTGGTGGCGGACAGCACGAAGGTCGTGCTGCAGATGCCGCGCGGCAACCTTGAAACGATTCACCCGAGGGCGCTGGTGCTGGCCACCGTGCGGCGACATTTAGACAGGTGAGCATTCGTCGTGACGTGAGGAAGAGTTGGCGCGATATGCGTACATGCGATACTGCTTATAATAAGACCAGTAATCCGTTTGATGAGATTGGTTTTGTAATCATTCAAAATAGAGTCAGAGAATGAGAAATATATTTTTTTATAGAAGTATTTGCATGTATCACAACATTGCACGTCAGTTGTGAAATTGCATTTGTTTATCTACACATCCAAAATTAACATCTACACATAACAAAGTTATCGATATTCATCGAACTTTACCCAACGTGTGTGTATTTGTATATATAGCTGGGTTGTACTGAAAATGCTATTCAGAAAAAAATATGTACACATGTATAAATTTACGTAATATCATATAAAAAGATTGTATTGAGTGACATATGTGGTTATGTTGTAATTGGCTTGGAGATACGTACATGTGTGTTCATTTTTGTGCTCGCAGGCTGGAGTTTGAGCCAGCTCTGCTGCTGATGAAGAAACACAGGATAAACATGAATCTGATTTACGACCACAACCCGGAGTTGTTCCTGAACAATGTCGACGCGTTCGTGAAGCAAATAGATAACGTGGGTAACATCAATCTGTTCCTGTCTGAACTACAGTAAGTATATAATAACAGAAGAATTATACGATTGAATAATTTCATCTGATCTCTATAGTTCACATAAAAATAAGTTTACTCGATTAGATCCATAATAAGTTATAATTACTTGCAACGACGAAATTTTTGTCCATTTCTCCGATAGACTTCCTCAGGTCAGACTTTCTCTCATAAACTTATTTTTATGAGAAGAATTATAGATGATAAGAAGAGAATGAGCGGAATACAAAATGGTTGTAGAGACTGAACTATAATAGTACAAATGTGTGAGACACAAATGGGAGATGTGAACACCTAGGCCACTGATTAATATTTATTTATTACTGTTGTCGGTCGATGTAGAAATTTATACAAAACGAATGTTCGAATGTCGCTTCAGTGTGGTTTCATGGTTGCTCATTTTCGCTCGATTATGCAGGGAGGAAGATGTCACAAGAACGATGTATCGCACCCAGCATGCCATTGAGTCACGACAAGGGCCTCACACTGTCAACAATGGGATGGGTAAAGTTGATCGGATTTGTGATGCTGTAAGACAGGCTCTGCAGAATGACGATATTGATAGGTAATTGCATTAATCATGTTATACTATTAATTATCATAATACCGTTAGGGTTGGGAGGTGATTTTTAGTCGAAATTTCAATACCCATTTTATTTGATAGATGGCGCCCATGGGCAGCTATGTATGCATGGATGTTATGTATGTAGCCTCCCAAACAGTTCAAAATCCCCGCATACGCTTACCTGGCTATTGCAAATCCCGGAACACCCTTTAAATAGTGACGTCATGAGTGCACGCTATCCCAAAATATACAGCGTGCCACCCCAGCACGCAAATCAGCAGCTGTTTTGATCCGCTGTTGCTACGCGCGTTTGTGTACATAGCGATGATATTTATGGGCGGCGAACGGGAGCTTGAGATAATGGACTTATTTTGTTTATTTATTTATAACAGCAGTACTTTTTTTAAAGTTTGTTGATGTTAAACAGTCACAGATAAGTTGCGGTAAGTACTAACAGCAGCAATTATGCTTACCTTGGTCAATTCTAAACACAGCCGTTCAATCACTGTGAAGTGCAGAAAAGTGCTAATATCTCCATTGTTAGAAATTCGGAAGTTGCTGATATTTCAAAAAGCGATATTTCTCAAAACTCACAACTCCGATTCCAAACATTTTTGTTCCGTTTTAGTGCTAACATATTTAAGGAAAAAACGGTCCCTGGAATTTTTATGAAATATTATATTTTAGAACTTATGGCTCTTTGTTTACGAAATTGTCGTGTTTTAAAAATCATTACAAATTTTCGTGCATCTTTTCGACTTATTTCCTAAATTAAAGCATTTTAAAAAAATTAGAGGGACCGTTTTTTAGTTCACACTATTAACCACTTATGGGTAAAAGTTCCCAACTCTGCTGTTTCTGAGAAATAAGAAAAAAGCATATATTTTTTATATAAATTCACAATTTTTGCTGTCACGTAATTAGCAATGAAGTTTTTTTGATTAATTTCATCCAGAGCGTAGAGAAACATCTCTTTTATGAAATAGGTATGAGTTTGATTCAATTTGATAAGCAGTTATGTTGCAATGCCCTTTACAGAGGTACCTGTCCGTAACCCTGACGGTCACCTTAACGTATTAACACAGTGCAATCATGCATTCATTGCGCTAAATCGAAATCATAATGTATTTTTTCAGATACGAATTGCTGAGAGAACACAATATGCGAGTTACAGTTACATGGAGCAGCTTTGTGATTCAATGATTCATGTTTGTTTCATAGGTTTATTATGTGCATATTAGCAACACATGTTAAGAAGGCCAAGCCAGAACTACATCAAGCCCTCTCGATGATAAAGTACCTCCGTGGTAATTATTTCACATGCCATTTACTCTGTATTTTAGCATGCATACACAAAATGTATACACCTCATGTATTTCTCATTCATGTAGTTCGAAGCATGATTTCAATGCAGCGTTATCATCGGGGGCAGTGAGCGGTTAGGTGTACATGTGAGTTAATTGATTATTAATCTTCTCTTATGAATGATACCTGACTCGATGCGCAAAAACATCAACACGCGAGTAATTCATACCGAATAATACCGAATAATTCATAATTCACCGATTGCGAAATTAACCACTCGCGAAATTGTCCGTCAAGTCTGAATCCGCGAAAATATCTGTACGCGAAAAATATGGCGTATATACAGTAAGTGTTGTCGCTTGCAGATTTCCCGGAGTCAGGTCGGGTTGGGGCTGATGAAGCGATGAAGTTCCTGTTGTACCTCGTCGATGTTAACGAGCTGTTTGACGTGGCGCTGGGAACGTATGACTTCGAGCTCGTCATGATGGTGGCCGAGAAATCGCAGAAGGTTCGGAGCGAAATTATCTCGCACGAGAAATTCGCGTGCATTCCTGTTATCAGGGGTGATGAATAACGGAAATTGTCAATGTACAAATGCACACAAATGCACACAAATGTTGACAAATGTACAAATTCGTATGGGTCGTTATTCACCCCTGCTGTTATTTCGTGTTTTCTGAGTGTGTTTCTACACTGTGTGATTACTGGACTGTACTATTCCACTGAGCTGTATCTGCAATACACTGCAGGTACATACTGCATCATAACTAAAAATATTAGGTGTAATAATGTGCACTACACTGACCTTCAGCCTATAGGTGTTAATAGTGGTTTCTAGAGATATTTTGCCACTAGAGAATGGTGAAGATGGTTAAAACGTAGAAGCAGGGGTGGTGTTGAAGAATGCATCGTTTGTTTTGAAATAGGATCCGAAAGAGTATTTGCCGTTTCTGAACACACTCAAGAAGATGGAGACCAACTATCAGAGATTCAGCATAGACAAGCACTTGAAGTTATATGCAAAAGCTCTGCCCCATCTTAGTAAATGTGGTAAGAAAATATAGTATGACTTTCTTTTACATATTGTATATGTATGTTTATGTATATGTATATGTATATGTATATGTATATGTATATGTATATGTATATGTATATGTATATGTATATACATATGTATATGTATATAATGTGTGTATATGTATGTTTATTTATTTATACAGGGCTCTCCTCAATTGCAGAAGGTATATTGTGTATGGATGAATGGGGGAAGGGCCTGGGAGATACACAGATTTTTTAAATTCAATATATAACCTTTTTATGTCATTTTTGGGCACTCGATTTTTAACTAATAGACAGGAAAAGATTGAAAAGAAACAGGAACGTAAATTTAAAAAAAAATATAGCTAGAAACAAAGGCATGTTGATTAGGCATGTCTAACAATTTACGGGATTTTACATATTAGCTTCAGCTTTTAAGGCATGTCAGACCCAACATGCATTAAAAATCTAGGGAGAACCCTGATATATAGACGTACCTATTCCTCCATATCTCTAAGACCGAATAGTAGGTGTAAGATAACAGGTAAGAGGCCATGCTGTCATTGCTCTCCCTGTTATTGCACATTTGAAGTATTAATCGTTGCTGTTGAGTGGAATTCCCAATGGAACAACACACTAACATTCATGGAAATTTTAATAGTATTTTATACAACATGACATACTGTGTAATCATATCGTAATGCATATCCCCTATCATGTAGAGTTATGCATGTTGCAAAACCATGAGGCATTTGCATGATTCTCAGGAGGCTAATTCTTGTTACCGTACTGCCATGTGTTTTCGTTAGGATCCAGCCACCTGGGGGAGCTGCTCGACTATGTGAAGGAACACAAGCTCTATGCCGAAGGGCTGGTTTTGTACTGCCGTGGCTCAGAGGAATATAAGGTTGATTCATTACGACACATTCCAATATGAATATTTCCCCGTCATCAATGCATTGTCATCAACTCTGTGTCAGCTTTATTGCATTTAAAGTAAGATTCAGCATAGACAAGCACTTGAAGTTATATGCAAAAGCTCTGCCCCATCTTAGTAAATGTGGTAAGAAAATATAGTATGACTTTCTTTTACATATTGTATATGTATGTTTATGTATATGTATATGTATATGTATATGTATATGTATATGTATATGTATATATATATGTATATGTATATACATATATGTATATGTATATAATGTGTGTATATGTATGTTTATTTATTTATACAGGGCTCTCCTCAATTGCAGAAGGTATATTGTGTATGGATGAATGGGGGAAGGGCCTGGGAGATACACAGATTTTTTAAATTCAATATATAACCTTTTTATGTCATTTTTGGGCACTCGATTTTTAACTAATAGACAGGAAAAGATTGAAAAGAAACAGGAACGTAAATTTAAAAAAAAATATAGCTAGAAACAAAGGCATGTTGATTAGGCGTGTCTAACAATTTACAGGATTTCACATATTAGCTTCAGCTTTTAAGGCATGTCAGACCCAACATGCATTAAAAATCTAGGGAGAACCCTGATATATATACGTACCTATTCCTCCATATCTCTAAGACCGAATAGTAGGTGTAAGATAACAGGTAAGAGGTCGTGCTATCATTGCTCTCCCTGTTATTGCACATCTGAAATATTAATCGTTGCTGTTGAGTGGAATTCCCAATGGAACAACACACTAACATTCATGGAATTTTTAATAGTATTCTATACAACATGACATACTGTGTAATCATATCGTAATGCATATCCCCTATCATGTAGAGTTATGCATGTTGCAAAACCATGAGGCATTTGCATGATTCTCAGGAGGCTAATTCTTGTTACCGTACTGCCATGTGTTTTCGTTAGGATCCAGCCACCTGGGGGAGCTGCTCGACTATGTGAAGGAACACAAGCTCTATGCCGAAGGGCTGGTTTTGTACGGCCGTGGCTCAGAGGAATATAAGGTTGATTCATTACGACACATTCCAATTTGAATATTTCCCCGTCATCAATGCATTGTCATCAACTCTGTGTCAGCTTTATTGCATTTAAAGTAATGAGGAGCGCGTGGACACGACCTGTTCATTCATATACTGATTTATTAATGGTTCCAGTCACGTATACATGGCACGTATTTCGATTATGAGTTCTTACACTAAATATGAGTTTTCAATACAGGAAATAGCTCGGATTTTTGCCGAGGAGCTCGAATCGTGTAATAAGTACGAGGAGTCGGCCATGATGTACTGTCGCTGCTGCGAATATGAGAGGGCTCTACACTGTTTTGAATTGACGTCCAACTGGCAGCAGCTGTTCTGCATGGCGGCAAAACTGCACTATGATAAGGAGAAGCTGCTTGACTTGGCTGGAAGAGTCTCAGGTTCGATACCTAACCCCACCTGACCTCTATGAATTCATATTTATCTTGTGTTAAATCCAAGAAATTATCTCACTATCGAAATTTTTCGATCTTTCTTTGGGAAATCTTCATCAGGATGTGACATCACCATAGGTGGCAGCAGGTGACATTATGAAGTTCGTGATGTGTCACACACGAGGGGCCTAGCTGCCCCAGGTGGGCAGCCTCGTCTTCAGTAAATTGTCATATATATGTGAGAGGTCGAAAGGGAGATCGAAAATTTCGATAGTAAGTTAATTTCTTGGATTTAACACAAGATAAATATGAATTCATAGTTTTCAACGAAATCCAATGAACTTATTTCATCCATCTGACCTCAACTCGATTATAACATGTTCTTGTCATACTATCGAATATACGAAACCCTGTAGTAGATCCGAAAAGACATTGTCAGAAACATTTTATACTAGTTATGACTACTTGGGTAAAGAATGTTATAGCTGTTGAAGTGAATGTGTCGTGCAAATGTTGTGAAAAATATTTATATTTTATGATAGCCATAACTATACATGATTATTCTGACAATGGGTCCCTGCACGTAACAGACATGCAGAATTAATCACAAATATCGCATCCTCATGTAGAGCGACCGAAAAAGCGTGCCTATGGTTACAGATAGCCTAGCGCTGCATCGGGAATTGCAGTGAAGCAGGTTTATAGGCAAGTAGTAGCACTCGTGGGGTTTCTGTTTGCAGTTAAGCTGCGGGATGAGCGACGACACGCTGAGGCTGCGGTCGTGCTGATGCAGTATGCAGGCAACGTTGAAGAAGCCATAGTCGAGCTCATAGACGGGTGCCTTTGGGACGAGGCACTAAGACTGGTACGTAATTTATGAAGCGTTGGATCACGCATGTGTGTGTGTGAGACTTCGCCAGGCATCAGAGAATGCCTTTGGGAAGAGGCATTAAGACATGGTGCGGATTTCTAGTGTTCGAACATACATGTCTGTATGTTGAACATGCCAAATCCTAGAAGAATGCCTTTGGGAGGAGGCATTTAGACATGGTGCGAATTTATAGTGTTCGAACATACACGTGCATCTGTCAGACATGGCCGAGCGTAGAAGAATGCCTTTGGCAGTAGGCATTATTGCATGGCACAAATTTTTGGTGTTGGAATGTACAGCCGCGATGAGTCATACTTGTCCAAGCACGGAAAAGTTTCAATGAGGTGTTTAGATTTATATATAGTTAATGAAATATTTATATATGCCTGTATATTGAGCAATTCCTGAAACTTGTCCACATAAGACTTGTCACTGCATCACTATACAACTAATCAGCTGAATTTTGCTGCTGCCTTTTTTTCAAAATATTGTTGCTATATTTGTTTTTAACTCATAAGAATATGAGAGGGAGGAGAAACTAGTACACAGTCTGACAGTGGAAAACCAGAGTAATGAGTAACTCATGAAGAGGGAATGACAACAACAACAACAACAACAACAACAACAACAACAACAACAACAACAACAACAACAACAACAACAACAACATCACCTTATTTTAACTATACATCAGACTACATTTTTTTACGCATGATTTATTTATCACATGATTACGTACGATGGATTTATGATCGTATGAAGGGTGCATACAGCTACGTACGTGATCGTCGAATATCATCTGCACAGAGGTTTCCGTTACTGCCACAGATGCACCTACACAACCACACAGATATCATCGAGACTGACTTGCAACCCCATGTACTGGAGCAGCACACCTCTCAGATAAACACTGTGGAGAATCTACGAGTGCAGTTCGACAGACACGTCAATAGACTAGCTGTCGTCAGAGCAGAAAAACAAAAGGCGCTTTTCGAACTTGAAGGTACCAGCCGGTGTTTTCCTCCCACACGTCACCTTCGTGGGTTATCACTGTACGTGTGGTTCAATCTGTTTTGAATGGGTTATAGGCTGCTATTTCTTACAGGAAAATAATTGTAAATGTATATAATTACGTATGAAGCTTCGTCCTAAACCGTCTCTATGTGATACAGATTCCTTCACTCTCTACATACTGCACTACTACTCTGTACACTATACTGCACAGTACTGCACTACTCCATGTTGGTCCAACCTGCATATCACTAGATGCCATTAAGCTATAAGATTACCGATGAACTTGTTCACTTTGTTATGTGCAAACGTACCTACGTGTGAGTAGTGTCGATGCGCGAACTTCACAAGCATTCGGAATACGAAACATCTCTGCTGTCCTGCTAGCACTTTAATTGTTACTTAGGAGCGGTCAATTATTAACCAATCGTATTCAGCGTTGTCCCCGAAGACACGCAGTTTGCAGACACGCAAGTCCCCGCACGTTTGATATCGGTATGTGTTTGTGTTGCAGAGAGGGAGCACGCTAATACGGCCAATGCCGACTTAACTATTAGTTATTAATTAATTCGATCGTATTCAGTGTTGTCCCCGAAGACAGTACACACACGTTTGATATCGGTATGTGTTTGTGTTGCAGAGAGGGAGCACGCTAA